CAGTTAAGATCAATCAACTCATTATACTCCAGTCCGAATACTATCAAACTAGCAGCACTGAACAAATGGCAAAATCTTCATTAATGTACTATATATAATTGGAGTCGGGTGTGGGGGCACACACCTGTAAGCTCAGCACTCCACAGCCAAAGCAGAACTGAATTTAAGAATAGCTTGGAGTACATAGCAAGGCCCTGTCTTAAACAACAGTTGTGTACTAACTGACAAGAACCAGGTCTAGACTTTAAAAGCCCTGGGTTCTTGGGCTAACTGCCATCTTCTCTTGAGTTTAGCGTCCTGAATGGGCTTCAGGTTGACTAATTTGCAAACACTAATTTTACCTGTTCTCATTTGAAAGCAGTATGGAGGGACACAAATGGCTGGAAAGTTACACTTTAAAACCCTTAGCCATTTTTGTATTTTCAAGCCCTTGCTACGCTCCAAGGAGATGGCTCCTGTTCCTAAACTAAAAATCTAGGAGAGGAAGTAAGGTAACCGGAGTACTACTGGAAGGCAATCTATGACAACAAGACCCCCAACAGCAATACGCTAGTCCGAAGAAGGGAAAGCGTTAACCACGGTCCCAAATGCAGCTGCGACAAAAATCTGATGAGTACAACTTTGAGGAGGCAGACACCTTGGAGAAGTTTCTTTGGCTTTTTGAAGAAGATAAATTGTAAGGGCAGTGTGGAGATTTGGAATTAAAAGCTAAAACTGACTGGTTACTTCATCAGTCAATATTAAATTAGGGTGGTAACCTCTTTTAACCAATGCTGGGAGGTAAAAATGTCTGTAATCCACATTTCATGCATGAGAAAAGTACGTATTTTGCTAAAGATGGCTATCTTGTGTAAACCTCTAGTAGGATTCTAGAACCCCGAAATCTAGGCTGTTCATTAAAACATCATATCCAGGGTTTTTGTTTTTGTGTTGTTATTTGGTTTTGTCGTTGTTTTGAGACAGTCTCACTATGTAGTCAAGGCCTGCCTGAACATCTCCAAGTGAACCAGGCTTGGCCTACAACTTGCTTCGCTCGTGTTGCAGGCGCGCTCCGCTCTGCCCGTCCCGTCCCGCTGCGTCCACAAATCTCAAACGTGCACGGCGGGTCGAAAACTCGAGAGCCTCTTGGAATAAGACTGGCCTCGGCGGGCCACTCGGACGCGGTAGGAGCAGCGGCACCCGCCTGGGAGCGACCTGCCCTGCGCTGTCACAGTGCTGGCGTCTCCCGGGACCTACCCCACACAGACCCGACACAGCGCCAGGCCGTACAGCGAGAGGCCGGCGGCGTGGGGCGCGGGACCCAGACAAAACGGCTGCGGAGGACCGCGGCCAACCCTGCGGGGAAACCGCTTGCGTACCGCGCCAGGCTCTTGGTAGCCATTGCCGACGCTCGCTCGCTCGCTCCCTCGGAGTCCGGAAGCCCAGCAGCCGGAAGTTGGCCGCCTCGCTTCCGGTCCGTTCAAACTCCGGCGCGTTCCGAGCAGCCGCGGCGTTGCCTGGGCGGTTCGGGACCTGGGGTGGGCGTGGACGGAGGCCTGAGGATGGGCAGTCCCTCGCTCCGCCCCTGGCGTCCCTCGGGGAGCCGGCTCCGAACTTCGCGAAACCTTCGGGTCGGGGAGAGCGGAGGGGTTCCGGGGGCGGGGGTCGTAGGGCCGCGCGATTTTCTGCGAAGGCAAAGCGTGGTCAAGTGGTTTGGGCTGCTTCGAGGGAAAAATAGACCGTCACGCCTGTCCAGAGCTTCGGGGGAGAGAAGCCCGGGCACGGTGTCCTGGTTTGGAGGGGGAGGTTGGGTTGGAGGGAGAACCTCGGCTCCAGCTCATCCTTCCCCTGCAGCCTGACCGAGCTAGAGGTGCAGAGGAAGCCCAGAAAGAGGAAGGAGGCCCCGATTTCGGCCTTGGCGACAGAGCTGCATAGACCTCCGTGGGATGTTGTGGTTCTGTAACATCCCACAAAATCCATACAAATCTGTAACATCCATACAAAAAAACATCTGTATTTCTTTGTGGTAAAATGGGAATAATGATCATTCCCATTTTAAAGTTATATGAATGAAATAATTTGGTACAAATAGATTTCTCAAAACTGTATTTGCCTAGAGGCTGGCAGTGTGGCTCAATAGTAGAGCACTAGACATTTGAGAAAAATAACCAGTTCTGGTCTGAGGAGATGGTTCAGCAGGTAAAGCAATTGCCATACAAATTAAGGTGCCAGCATTCAGATTCCCAGAACCTTGTATTATAGTTTTGTTCTGTTACTATGATAAAACAGTCTGACCCAAATTGAGTTTTCAAGTTATAGCCTGTCATTGAGGGAAGTCAGGGCAGGAACTTGAAGTAGAAACTCCAGAGGACCGCTTCTTCCTGGTGCTCTCCAGCTCATGTTTAGCTTTCTTTTCCATCCTAGGACTAACAGCCCAAGGAACTACACCCACAATGTGTTGGGCACTTCTACATGAATGAAAGGAGCTTTATAAAGACAATTTCCCAGACATGCCCACAGGACAATCTACTCTAGGAAATTCCTCAGATGACTATAGGCTGTGTCAAGTTGAGATCAAAGATGACAGGAACACCACGCAAAAAGCCAGGTGGGCGTAGGGAGGGATACAGAGAGGCAGAGATAAAGATGCCTGGAGAATGCTGGTTTGCCAGACTAGCTGAAACCGAGTCCCAGGTTCAGTGAAATACCCCACCTCAAAGTGACTGGGGGAGATACCCATATACCAACCTCAGGCCTCCATGCCAGCACGCAGACATGCACCATAACGTTCAAACATATATGCACACACGCATACATAAGAAAGAGGGGGAGAGAAAGCAAGAGCGAACCAAATCAGTTCTGGTTTTAAGGACTGCTTCATGTGGGACCTCCTACACTTCAAGATTTGCGTTTTCTGGAAATCTACATTTTTAAACTGTCTCAAATCCTCTTGGCAGTTTGTTGCTGTGTCTTTACAGCCCACAATTTCTTACATCTCCTGGCATTTTCCTGAGGAACTACATCTCTACTATGATGTAGTAATCAGTTTTTTTAATGATTTCTAGACAAGTCCTCTAGCTCTGTCAACTCTCCAAGTCAGATGAGAAGAAACCAGGTTCTCAAGACAGTCCCCAGGTTCTTCAGAGTATTGGGCACACTCTGGAGTGGGAAGTTGCCTTCCCATTGTTTCCCATGTCCCTTGTTGATTCAGAGAGGGAGATGGGAACACAAAGTAATGAAGAGTGGCATTTCTCATTTGCTAGCAAGTTGCAGGGGTTAGAGGCATACATCCTACCACTTGGGGTTTGGGTGGGGAGTTACTTGTTTCAGATTAATTTTATGTTGTTAGAGAAAAAAGATTGCTAGAAAAGGTTGGCATATGTTCTCTCTCTCTCTGCAAGAGCTTTAACTTATTTTCCTCTTTGCCACAGCTACAAAGGGCAAAGTTTTTCTATACATTTCATGCTGCTATAGATACCTTTTTTTCCTAAACATACCTTTTTTTCTATACATTTCATGCTGCTTTCTGGCTACCAGGCTTGTAGCTTTGTGTTATTAAATATCAAAGTTGTCACATTATTTGCATTTAACTGGACTTTTTCTTTCTAGGGGTGCTTTGTACTTCATCTGATTCTTTCAGGCTTATTGATTCTCCTCCATCTACCCCCACCCTCCAATGGTTCTCTTAAGCTTCCTTTTTGTTTGTTTTCTTTATTCTCTGACTTGTAGCAATGTATAAGGATGGAAGCCTCTGTTGGAATTTATTTCTCCTTTACAAGTAATTTGAAGGTTGTGTAATAATCATTCAGTAATATTTAAAGTATGGGTCATGTGTGTTATATATATAATATCTGTGTGGTTTTTATGTGATACTAGAAGGTTGAATCAACCATCTTGTGTATGGTAGAGCAGTTTCACTAAACTGTATCTCCAGCCTTTTTATTTTGATACAGGGTTTCACTTAGTTGCCCAGCCCAGCTGTGAACTCAGTCACAGCCTGGTCTTGAACTTGCTATCTGCAGCCTCTATGTGGTTGAGATTATAAGCTTGGGCCTCCAGGCCTGTTGCAAGCAAGTCTTGTATTCCTAGAAGGGGTGCATTGTTCCTGAGGTTCTACAGTGCCAGGTTGATGTGTGAAGTTGATGTAACAAGCTCCCCTTCCATCCCCTGCTTCAGAAACTCATTTCATATGTTGTTCTTGGGCAGAGACCACAGTATAGTAAACTGGCAAGGACAGATTACTTGCTGGGTCTTCGCCAAAAGGCCATGAAGCAGTAATTTATTGGCTTTTCTAGAGGAATGTGTGCTGTAGCCATTTTTCTCTAGACCTGGAAGCCAGCTGTATGTTACTTTGGGGTCTGAGTAAAAAGAATTATTGTTTGTATTATTGTGGCACGTGGAGGGAGTTGAGTGAGCCCTGCTTTCCTAACTCTTTCAGTCTATGGCTGTCTGTTCTCTTAAGGTGCCTGAGCAAGCCAGAGCGGAAGTCCCTTTGTTTCCCTTCAACATTGTTCAGTTCTCTTTTGAGCCCTTTTCACCCTTCTTCATTGAGGAGATGAAGAAAAGACAAAAGTAGATAGATTCTGCTGAACTGTTTCATAACTTACAACCTCCCTTCATTAAGTAAAGTAATGCACATTTCATTAAATTTACATCTCTTCCTCAATTTTATTTCAATATACATTTACATCTGAAAAACATGTTTTATAAAAATAAGAATCAGATTGAGTATACTGTTTTACAACTTTTTGTATGTGTTTACTGTATGTATACATGTCTACAGGTATGTGGGTGGGTGAGTGCATAGGCAGATGCATGCATTGGTAGAGACAAGGTCAGAGGCCGCCATTAAATATCTTCTTTTATTGCTTTTAGCTGGTTTGTTGAGACAGGGTGTCTCAGTGGATCTGGAGCTCACAGATTTGGTCATCCTGTTTCTACCTGCCAGTGCTGGGATTAGAGGCATGTACCGCTTGCACTCAGGTGTTGATGTGGGTGCCAGGGATCTGAATTCAAGTTGTCAAGCAAGCTCATCATCCACTGAACCCCTTCCCCAGCCCCTTGTTGCAACTTTTTAAAAAATTTAAAAGGTATCTTCTATGTTATTACCTAGTTCAGTTTCCTTATTTTAAGGTCTGATATAGCTTTTGTATTTTTAATTTTTACCTATTATAAATAATGTTGCAGTGGAAATCCTTGAATACAAACTCTGTTTTTTTGGTTTTGGGTTTTGTTTTTGTTGTTTTGTTTTGTTTTGTTTTTCAAGACAGGGTTTCTCTGTGTAATCCTGGCTGTCCTGGACTCACTTTGCAGACCAGCCTGGCCTCAAACTCATAGAGATCCCCCTGCCTCTGCCTCCCAGAGTTCTGGGATTAAGGCTTGCTCTACCATGCCTGGCTTGAATACAGAGTCTAGTGCATTTGTCAATTACTTAAATCCACAATAACTTTTAAAATGTTTATTCATTTTATTTTTTATGTGTGAATATTTTGCAAGTATGTATATGTACCACATACTTGGTACCCTTGGATGTCAGAAGAGGGCAACAGGTTCCCGGGAACTGGAGTTATTGGTGGTTGTGAGCCACTATGTGGGTGCTAAGAATTGAACCCAGCTCTTCTGTAAGAGAAGCAAGTGCTCTTAACCACTAAGCCATCTTTGTAGCCCTTTAATAACTCTGGACTTTAGACATTTGAAAAGGTAAGCCATGATTTGCCTATGGTTTCAGTTCGTTTTCACATCTACTTCTTTATTCTGTTATTTTCCTACAGATGAAGACCAAGTAGACAAAGATGTCAACTATCTATGCAGGGCCATTTAACAAAAATTTCAATGTTGAGCCTCTTAAGAAGATATTTATCAGGTTGGGCCCGTCCAGTCAATAACTCTCGTTCTTGAGACCTATTGGATAACTTGAGAAAATTAAGATTTTGACTTTCTTAGAAAAATCAGGTGATTGTGGAGTTTGTGCAGCTAATAAATTAGTGAAATAAACTTGAGTGTCTCCAGCTCTGTCTGGTAAGAGCAGTTGCTGACCCAAATGTAATCAGTTTTTCTAGACCTTAAGTTTTTGTATATTTATAATTTTTATTTTGTTTTGCTTAAAGAGAAATCTGCCTTTAGGTCAGGGAAAAATATGTCTGCTGAAGCCAGGCATGGCAGCAATGCCTTTAATCTCAGAACTCCAGGAGGCAGAGGCATGAGGAGTACTGGAGGCTGGTCTGCATAGAGAGTTCCAGAACAGCCAGGGTTACATAGAAAGACAGTGTCTCAAAAACAAAAACAACAAAATCCCTGCTGTTTGAATGTAGCCTTTGTGCCTTCTGATTATGACTTCACCTTTAAATAATAAAATATCCTTTAAAAAAGAATAGTGGGGAAGGGGCTGGGGGATGGCTCTTGCTTAAGAGCATGTACTGTTCTTCTGGATG